AGCTCAATTGAAAATGCTACACCTAGTGAGTCGGAAGCAAACGAGTCAATTGCTCAGAGCAACATTAAAGATACTGTGATTGTTCGACCTACAAGACTGCGAAAAACACCAACAAGATTTAGAGACTTTGAACTCTACAAGTAAAGAACATTTTAAAGATTTTGATCTTTAAAGATTTTGAACACTGTTATGAACTGCATTAGAGACAATTACAAACATTGTGATTTTGTTAATGTTTATTCAGTTTTGACCTACACCTAGCCATAACTATTGTTTTAAAAAGGGGAGGGATTGTAGTGTCTTTGCATTACATTATAGTTTCATTTGGTATTCCTGTGTAATATTGGGTTACCTGTGTAATATGCAAATGTTGTTGTGTGTGTATTAAACATGGCGACCAGAGAGAAACACTCGTAGTAAGGTTTCTATCCAGTTTAATCCGTATTAATCCGTAGAGATAGTACAGTGATAATAAAGAACCATGCTTTGAACCATTTGCTGCAGCATATTGCATGTCAATGAAAACAATAACAGTTAATGTGAGTTAAATTGTTTTAGATAATACTGAACAGCATAATTGAAATAGAAGTCATTCAGTTTTGGAAGCATTGTAGTCTTCCAAAGCTCTTCATTGAAGAAAATCCTCTGTACAAACACCTGCCYTACACCAGAATAAGCGGGAGGGTACTGAGAGCAAGCTGTCCTTGAATTTGATAGCTGTWTTGATGTTTTGGATTTAAAATAATTTTCTCTTGATCAGCAACCAAAAAATGACTATATTTAAATGATGGGTGTCCCAAAGTATCTTTGACAGATAATCCCAATGATCMAGCTTTTGGRCATGTCTTGACCTCTAGCCCTCCAAATTTGCTTTCAGATTGAGGATCATACACTAACCGGTCCATAGATGCCCCTAGATGTGGAAGGGAAGGGTTAACACATAAGCCAACTTCCTTAATTTCCAATCCTGTATTTCCTTCCTTGTGTTTTCCTTCTAAATAAAGTTTTGCAACCTTTGTCTTCATTATCTTTCCCATATTGAATAAAAGGGAGGTTACGTTTAAGTAACAGATTTAAAAATCTGTTGGATCACATATTGATTTTACAAATTCTAGTGTTGGCTCCCTTTTTCGTGTCACAATTTTGCCAAATGATGATGCTGTTAGGCGAAATTGTCTTTCTTTTTTTCCAAAGTCTGTTATCTGCCTGCCCAATGGTTTTATTTTGTATCTCTTGAGATGACTTTAATGTTACATTAATCCTTTTGAAAATGTCTGGAAAATAGACGAGTTTAGATATTTTGGTTCAGTGACCATGCACAAAAGAATTGCAGACGAGGCTCCGGGGAAATAAAGAATAAATCAAGATTATCCATTGATAATTTTATTTTTTTTTAATATTTCAAAGAGTTATTTTGAAGTGCACGCTTCAAAATGACCAATCAAAGAGCGTATAATATCGTTTTATTCTTTATTTCCCCGGAGCCTCGTCTGCAATTCTTTTGTGCATGGTCACTGAACCAAAATAGCTAAACTCGGCTATTATTTAGTTTGACTATCAATTTCTCATGGTCTTCCAAACACATCAGTGGCAATTTGGGAAAAACAGAATTATCATTGCTACAAAAGTCTTGAACAGTGGCACTTGATCCATTTCTCATCTGAGTAGTTGATTCATTAATTGTAACAGTGGTTTGGGTTAAAGTAGGTGATACTGTAACAGCTGGTTGTTCTGTCTGAGAATATGACTCATTGACAGTGGACTGGGTTCTTGACTGACTCGTTGTCACTAATAGYTGTGTACCAGAAATCAAGCTTCCTGGGCGAAGCTCTGGAAGCTGAAAGGTTGTATTTAATGRCTCACTTGAAAGTCTTGCTTATGCAACACAGAACCTTTAGCAACAGTTCCAATTAAAGTATTTACAGTTGGCATGTTATTGTTGTCTGGTAACATTAAACCCAATGGTATGCGTCCTTTTATAACTTGCAGATCAGTTTTCAATTTAGCTACAGCATTAKCATCAAATTTCCTTGCTTTGATTGGCCTTGGGTCCAAAAATTGAGAATGCATTCCTCTTTTCCTTTTACCTGGAATATCAGATRAATGCCTTGSTTTTTCAATACTTGTAGCCATTACAGGATGAAATTCAACCTCTMTTTTCCCACCCTTTCCCCACTGCCGAGGCATTGATGTACATGATAGACGCTTGTCAGAGTCTYTTAATTCACCTTTCCTGGTCATATCCTCTAATTTCCAAATAACTGCCATAACATGACAACAACATTYGCTTTTTGATGCTGGGCATTGTCTATCACAGCTAGCAGATTTGATCTTTTGATTTGTTGATTCCTGAACTATCAATCTAACTTTATATTTACGATCTCTTTTGTAAGATGCCTGTTGSAAAGGAAAATATGTAAATTTTATTGAACTGGGCTTCCTGTGCCGTAAAACAGGAAAAAACTGGTTTTGATAGTTGATCGWACTTTWACTGGCCTCGTGGGCTAAGTTTTTAGGTCTAGTATAGTTTCTTTCGCTCGATTACAGTGTGTATTACAAGTTTATTGTCGGAAATATAGCTTATCTCTGGAATATCGTTTAATACCGTTTATCGTCCCAACATTTTGGCGACCACGCCAGGACAAAAGTATCGTCTGGAAGGTTTATATCGTGGATTTTCGTGGATTATATCGTGTGGATTTTGTATTCAACTTCGTCGGTTCTTCTCGAGG